ACAGTAATAGAGATGCTTTATGGGCTGCTGTGGGCAGACAGGGCCCTGAGCTGCAGGTCCCCGGAAACGGCTGGCCCACTGCTCTCCCTCGCCCGGAGCTCCACCGCCCTGTGCCTTGCAGAAGGTTTCACAGAACAGGACCCTCTGGGGGGCGGGCTGCGGGCAGTGCGTCGGCTTTGAGGCTCTGCTCCTAACCGGACAATGAGAGGCTGTAGGGGACACACCCTCGGGTTCCCACACGCAACGCTTTCTCAGATTCGATGTCCTTCCCGAGGATGCGTCTGACATGAGCCCGTTGGCCTGAGTGCGGCTTGACGTCTCGTACCAACGAGAGAGAGGGTGCTTCCCACACGGCCGGGCTGCAGGTGCGCCGTGCCCCTGCCTCCAGTCCCCGCCTGCCGTTCCCCTGGGTCCTCAGGGACCCCCACAGACCCCAGGTTTACAAACCTTTCCCAGAGAAAACAACGGAGCAGCTCGCCGCTCAGCACTCCCCCAGCCGCTGCGATGGAATCTCGCCCTTTCCTGGAATCACTAAGACCAGGACGTGGGGCGGCCTGGCGTCCAGATGCACGGAGATTTGGGCCAAGTTACCTCTGGCTCCCCCTCCCCACTGCCCCCCCCAGGCCTCCTTGTTCATCTACAAGGGCCACCTGCCCTGTGGGGGCCGAGGAAGATGGGAATGAGGCACTGCTCTCAGAGACCATCCAAAGAGAGGCAGTTTCAGAGCCAAAGTCACCTTGAGAGCCATGGGGTCAACCAAACCGCCCACACGTGTTGACAAATGGTCCAGTGGCCTTCACGCGTGTGCTCTTGGTCACGGCAGGGCAGCCCGGAGCTGCCTCCTGCGGCTGACACCTCGGGCGTACGTTCCCTTCTCTTGTGAGTGTCTCCTGATGTGCCTGAAGCCCGCCTCCCGTGCAACCCGCTTCGGTGTTTGTTTCCCGAAACCTGCCGCCCGCCGTGGTGTAAGGGCTTGTGTTGGGCAGCCGTGAAATCTGGAACTTTTTTCTTGCGGCGAAGCCAAAAAAAGCTCCACTAATTTCCTTCCCAAGATCTCAAAGGTCTGGGGTATTTTAGGCACAAAGCCATTACTGGAGGGCGAGGCGAGGGCGGGGAGGAGGCAAATTAACTTTGTGCTTTACACCAAAGCCCGGCTTTTCCTGGTTTTGCTAATGGAAGGTGATTAGAGAACATTTTAATGTCAAAGGTTTGAAAGCCATTATGCGTCTTAGCAGATCTTAAAGCTCTTCTGCTAATGACTAGAGCCTTGGTAAAGCGGTGCGCATGCTCATGAGCACACGCGTGCACACAGTGCACACACGCACACACAAATGCCCATGTCCACACACATGCATACATATGCGCGCAAAGCATACACGGTCATACATGTGTACATATAAGCACACGCAAGCACACACGTGCACACACTCTGAATGCAGCAGTGAGAAGCTGACTGCATGACCTGTCAGGCCGCCCACCGCTCCCGGCTGCTCCCAGGCGATGCTGGGAAGCCGGCATCCCCTACCCGCACCACCCAGACACGCAGGGGGGACCACCATGTCACCTGTGAACGACGACAGCATCTCCCCTCGAGATCGGTGTGCCTGTCCTTCCCTTTTCTTGTCTGGTTGCAACAGGCAGGACTCCTGGTGGAAGGTGGGAACAGGATGGCGGGAGGGACATCTCGTTTGGTTTCTGGTCTCGGGGGAACACGTTTAGCTGCGCACCATGAAGGATGCTGGTAGCGTCGGTTTTTGTAGATGCTGGAATTCAGTTTTTCTCTCTTCCACGCCCCTCTCTCGACAATTGTGTCCCTTCCCAGAATGCACCCAAGTGTTCCTTCCCTCTCGTTCCTCCCTCCACGTGTTCCCGGCGTGAGCTCTCTCCCAAGCTTTCCCTGTGTCCGTGCCATGCAGCCCCGCGTCCAGCGGATGGAGCTGCCCGACACTCAGGCCCTGCTGGCCTGGCTGCCCCTGGCCAAGGAGCCCGGGGTCCCTGCTGAGCCCTGTCCTGAAGGCCGGGTGCGTGCCGTGGAGCCAGCAGACAGAGTGCTCTCCCAGGACACACGTTTTCACAAGTGGAAACACGTCGTGCACGAATGGAGCCTCGCTGCTCGCTGGAGTATTCAGTTCCCCCGTCACCCGCTTCCAGTCCAGGGAGAGGCACGGAGGGTCCCTGTGTAGTGAACCGGGTGTCTATGCAGACAGCCGCCGGCCCCGGTGAGCGCGCCCACGAAGCCCGCACCGCGTGGCCAGGCCGTGTGCTTCCTGGGGCTCCGGGTACTTGCTCTTCACGCATCCGAACAGGAACCTGAGCTTTACCAGGGAAAACGGGTGGTGAGCGGTGCAGCTGACTCCCATGGTCACTGTGGGGTTTGTGTGTGCGTATGTGTGTGTGTCTGTGTATGTGTGTGTGCCACATACCACAGGGAAGGAAACAGTGTTTAGCATTTCCACGGGTACCCAAAAAAATAGAGCTTGTGCCCCGGTCGGTTTGGCTCAGTGGATGGAGCGTCGGCCTTCGGACTCACGGGTTCCGGGTTCGATTCCGGTCAAGGGCATGTACCTTGGTTGAGGGCACATCCCCAGTGGGGAGTGTGCAGGAGGCAGCTGATCGATGTTTCTCTCTCATCGATGTTTCTAACTCTCTATCCCTCTCCCTTCCTCTCTGTAAAAAATAAATAAAATATATTTTAAAAAAATAGAGCTTGAGGAGAATCTCTGTATATAAAAGGATAACATGCAAACTGTCCCCTTGGGAGTTCGACCAGGAGACCTGGAGTTTGATCACTTGCTATGACATGTGCTGACCACCAGGGGGTGGCGTGGAACAAAGGAAGGCCCCAGCCTGCAGCCGGAAGGCCCTGATCGGCCCTGATCACCGGCTGCGCCTAGGGACCCTACCTGTTCACGAATTCCGTGCACCGGGCCTCTAGTTTGAAAATAATCACGTGCTCTCAGAGTGGAGGTCGACGTTACATGGCGTGGATCTGCGGAGAGTCATTCACCGGCCACGCCCACTTCACCGCTGCCCCCTCAGGCTCTGGGGTGGGACGGGGTCTGGGGGAATCTGAAGCCAGCCCCGCAGGTCTCCACTCCTGAGCCCTCTTCTCTCGACTCAGTTTTCTAAATTGTTTTTTCTTTTTTAATTTGTAAACTGGAGGGAGTTGGTTCCTATAAATATTTTCTTGCCACATTTAGTTTCCACTTTACATGTTTCCAGTGCACACGGGGGATGCTTTGGTGTGGACCAGACCTGCAAAGTCATTGTGCCTGAGTCGCTCATTTCCGGATGACAAGATCATCCATTCTCCCTTGCCCCCACCTCTCTCTCTCTCTCTCTCTCTCTCTCTCTCCTGCCCCACCTCTCTCTCTCTCTCTCTCTCTCCCCCTCTCTCTCTCTCTCTCACACACACACACACACACACACACACACAGGCTGATGGGCCAGTGCAAATGTAGACTTGTGACACTTTTCCTGATACGATGAATGAATTCTCCATGTTTTGTGTTCCAGCTCCCCACGCTACTCAGCTCTGGGGCAGGGTAGTGGGGGGAGGCCTCAGTGGCCCCAGAATCGGTTTGGTTAATAGCCCAGCAATTTTCTTGAATCCCTCCATGGGGGCGGGGGCGGGGAGACACCCATAAAGGTAAAAAAATAATGTTCCCTGTTAGCATTTCACAAACCCGTCAATGGACTCCAGTGCCTCCGGGGAAATCTCTTCCCAGCTAGAGCACCTCTGTCTGGGAGAGGTTCAAGCTCTGTCCACAGGAACTCAAGGCGGGTCCCAGATCCTGTATTTACTCCACAAGATGGAGAATATAAACACACAGGGTGAGATGGATGTGCACAGCCTGGGGCAGGGTGGGCAGGCCTCCTACAGACCCTGACCAGGCCGAGACTTGAGACAGAGGGGGCAGAGGGAGGGGGAGAGAAGAGGGAGGGAGCAGAGGAAGGGAGGGAGAGAAGAGGGAGAGGGAGAGAGAGAGAAACATCAATTACGAGAGAGAATCATTGATTGGTTGGTTCCTACACACCCCACACTGGGGATCAAGCCCACAACTGGGCACATGCCCAGACTGGGAATCGAACCGTAACCTCCTGGTTCATAGGTCCAGCTCAATCACTGAGCCATGCTGGCTGGGCCATAAATATTTTTTTTAAACACCTGTTGTAAGCCATTAGTATTTCTTGCTTCCATAGCTTCTTTAAAAACATCATTTATTTTCTAGAGTACTTTAATTTGATATACATTATACTGTGCTTTATCTGAATTAATTTCGAATGCCAGCATCATTTGAGCTCATAAATATGTATAAAATATCCCTATTAAGACATTCCATTTTAAATATTTGGAATAATATAAGTAAATACCAGTCTAATTGTTGTCTATTTTTTAATTTTGGGAATAAAAATACAAAGTGAAAATTGTATTAACTCTTACTCCAAGAACTAGATAAAGCTGTGTAATAGCAAACATTTAAAATCATTTCCTAGAATGCAGTTTTGCACTTTTCAGCCAGTGACTTATACAGAAGAAATGCTTAGTCTGTATATATAAAAGCCTAAATACTGAATTGTGCTGAATTCAGATATTGTGTCTGAAACTGCATCTGATATTGTTAGTACATGAGATTAAGATAACTCAGTGTGGCAAGCCCCACCCCCAGCCCTTCGTTCAGCGCCTTGTGGCCGGGGATTGGCTGGGGACAGATGTGCCTGAGAGATCGTCCCAGCCGGCTGGGCGGGGCCGGGGCTGGTTAACCCTGCAGGTGCTGGTGCCGGTGCCCAGGCCCGAGGGCTGGGGAAAGGGACCCGGCCGAGTCCTTAGGATCTGGCTGCAGGAGGAAGGAGCCACCGGAATTTGAAAAATGACATTAACTGCATTTCTGTGTCTAAAACCCTCATTGGAGGACCAGGTCAGACCAAAACCAAAACCAAACCACAACCACAGAGCGAGGTGGGGAGCCGCCTGCCCGCTCTCCCTGGGCTGAGGACGGGCGCTGCCTCGCTGGTTGTATGAGGAGCCTGAGGCCGGGCGGCCGTGCTGGGTCCTCCGTGAGCTCAGCTGGGCTCCCTGCAGCGCCCGGAACACAGGTCTCATCCTCCATCGGACCCACCAGGAACCGTCTGTTCCCTTTGGGTTCATTTCTGCGGGCGTGTGAGGGACTCCGTTACGATCCCACCTTCCATCCCTCACTGCCCACTGCTCAGTGTGAGAGGCTCCACACGCCACATTTAAAATGCGTAAATTCAATTCATTTCCACTAAAGAGTCGCTCCCTTCTCCCAGGCCCCGTTCGCTGACCTCGCCAGCTCAGTGCGTCCTGGGCCCCGGCCACTGCTCCGCCCCGAGATGTGTGCGTGCACCTGCGAAGGTTCCTCTGGAGAATGAGGTAGCGCGACCGGCACGTTCCGTGCACCAAGCTCGTTCTCCCACGTTCAGGCCAAATCGCCAGCAACGCCCCAGACACAGCACTTTGGGCGCGCGCTCTTGAGACGTCCACGGAGGGAGCAAGGTTCCCTCTGGGCGAGGCCTAGAGACAGGACGGGGTGACCTGGCCAGCGTTGACCCCCGGCCTCTAGCTGGGTGCCCGGCACGTCCAAGCGACCACATGCCTGGCCTCCTGCCCCCACGAGGCGCCTGCAGCTTCCGCTGATTCTCAGCTTCATGTTTCTGCTGACTCCCTGGCAGGTCATCTGAAGGCTGGAGACGTTGTTTTATAGTTTTCCTTTTTTATTTATTATCATTTTAAAAAATACATTTTTATGGATTTCAGAGAGGAGGGGAGAGGGAGGGAGAGAGAGAAACATCAATGAGGAGAGAGAATCATGGATCGGCTGCCTCCTGCTCGCCTGCCACTGGGGATCGAGCCTGCAACCCGGGCCTGTGCCCTGACCGGGACTCGAACCTGGGACCCATCAGTCTTCAGGTCGACGCTCCACCACGGAGCCACGCCGGCCGGGCCAGCTGTAGTTCTCCATTTTAAAGGACTGTGACTTTTAGATTTTTTATTTCCTTGGAAGTGAGCCATAGGGGTGTTCTCTGTCCCCCAAAGGAAATGGGGGGCACAGGATGCTTAGCCGATTTACTCACAGCCTCGCCCTCCACGTGGGCACGAACCTCAGGGCGCGGACATCCGTGCGGCTCGTGGTTAGCACCCGCTTCCCGGGAAGGAGCCCGCCCGCCGGCCGCCTGCCCGAGGGGAGCGTAGAATGGCAGGTGACGGCCCCCTCTGTCCCCTTTGACCTGCCGGAGGGACCGGGTGATTGGCAGGCCTGCATGGACCCCGAAGACCGCGGTGCAGAGGCGCTGTGGGTGCTGGGGAGGCCTGGGGGAGGCTGCAGAGGCGGGGGAGCCGCTGGGGCTCATCCTGGAGAGGGTGACGTCGAAGCTGAGAGCTGGCGTGGGGTAGGGTGACCCCGGAGCCAGCAGGAAGAGCGAGGGAGGCGCCTTCTCCACGCGGCTCCGGGTGTCGGTGTCTGAAGGCGCAGCTCTGTTTCTGCGGTTTTTCTCAGAAAAGAGCTGGAAACGTCCTCGTTTGGGGGCGCTGTGTGGGCCGTGTGGACACTTCCCGGCCCGGCTCTGACCCTCCACGGGCACCGTCTCTTCCCCCTGCTGGGAGGGCCTGGCCGCCCTGCACCCTCTCTCCCGAGGATCCACGTCCACGTGAGTTTGGGTGGCGGGAGCACTGGCCCTGGGACCCGTCCACGTGTCCAGCTCACAGTTCACTCTCCCGGGGTTCAGGCCTCCACGCCCCCCGATAGACTGGCCCGTCAGTGATGGACTGCGCAGACCCAGCCCAGGCCCCTCCTTGCGATTCCAGAGGGAAACACAAGTCCAGCAGCTCATCGGACATTTCCCACGTCCAGGAAGCGACCACCTGCCCGGCTGCGGGTGTGGCTTCACCTGGGAGCCCATTAGAAACCAGGCTGTCAGCCGGCGGGGCTCAGGGGCTGAGCGTCCACCCAGGAACCAGGAGGGCAGGGGTTGATCCGGTCAGGACACAGGCCCGGGTTGCGGGCTCCATCCCCGTGAGGGGCGTGAGGAGGCAGCCAATTCATGCTTCTCTCTCATCATTGATGATTCTCTCTCTCTCCCTCTCCCTTCCTCTCTGAAACCAATAAAAATATATTTAAAATAAGTGCAGACTGTCACCCCCCTAACCCCCCGCCGCACCCGCTGACCAGCGCGGGCACCAAGCCACGCAGAGACGGAGCGCCTGGGCCAGGTCTCTGCCGTCACTTCCAGCTCAGAAACAGGGACCCTGAGTTCCCTCCCATCGCCCAGCGCCGTTCCCAGCCCCTCCCGTCCCCTCGCCCGACGCGCCAGCCAAGGAAAGGTCTCCGCGCTGCGTGGAGTGGGCAGCCTCTTCCGTGCCCTTCCCGGTCTCCCCGGGCCTCCTGGGCGGAGGGAACCGGGGCCTCCGGGTTAAGCGGGAAGCCGTCGCCATAGGACAGCTGCCAAGGCCGCCCCTCGGAAACCCGATGCCTGGGACCCAGGCCGCTCCGAGTCAGTCGTGTTTGTATCCGATGCCACGGCGCGGACACTGATTTATGAGCGCGGAGCAGCCACCAGGTTTCCTGCCTCTGGTCCGTGCATACGAATGCGATACAGACACGAGATTGTGTTGCGAATCACAGGACAGCAGACCCGGCTCTAGCCCAGATCCCATCGCACTGATAGGAGAAACGCCTGCAGATGCCGTTCCCTG